ATACATATACATACACCCACTCTCTTCCAGACTCCATTCCCATACAGGTTCATTATAGAACACTGAATAAAGCTCCCTGTGCAATACAGTAGGTTATTATCAGTTATCTTTTATTTATTGTAGTGCACTTCAAACTTGATTTACATTCAAGAAACCAATTCCTCTGGGCCATCCCGTGTTTAGTTGCTCAGTCGTATCCGACTCTTTGCAACCCCACTAACTGTGGCCTGCCAGGTTCCTCTGTCCATGGGGATTCTCCAGGCAAGAATACTGGAGTGGGTTGCCGCGCCCTTCTCCATGGGATCTTCCCAACCCAGGGATCAAACCCAGGTCTCCCACATTGTAGGCAGATTCTTTACTGTCTGAGCCACCGGGGAAGCCCAGGAATACTAGAATCGGCAGTCTATCCCTTCCCCCGGGGATCTTCCCAACCCAGGAATTGAACAGGGTCTCCTGCATTGCAGGTGGATTCTTTACCAGCTGAGCTACTGGGGAAGCCCTGATCACTCTATATGTTCTATTAATTTCTGTTCTCTTAATACTTGAAGGTGAATTTAGTGATTCCTGTACCCAGCCTGACTCACATAGAAATCAACAGTCTATATAATCTTAAGAATAAATTATTTTTTAGGACTCTAAAAGATGAAACATCACAATAGAAAGGTATTTTCCCCTTTATCTTGACACTCTCCATCAAGGTAAAAAATATTTTAGATATTTCTAATCACATTATTCCTATTCTTTCCACTTTATAATATTAAGACAAGTATTAAAAAATCTGTATTATTTATCTATCATTACTAGATCTATTCACTAACCACTGAATTTTCTCCATTAATCCTCTCTCACTTCATCTCTAAAACAGCACTGGATTCCATGACTGTTATTCAAGAATACCTGATTCTTGACATCAATCAAAGATGGAACTGGTTAAAACAAAGATGTAGCTACTCATCTTTACCTCATAATCCTCCCCTGCAAGGGTCAATTAATCAATCAGACAGCACATTTATCTGATTTCTGAAGCCAGAAAGTTCAGAATAGTCCAGCTCATCACCATCTTTTTCTTCACAACAGCCCATAATCAAATCCTGATGCTGGATCCTTCACAAAAGCCTCTGCATTCAACTCTTCAAGTTGACTTCTTAGGTTGGACCCTGATCATTTCACAATTAGACCAAGGCCAACTTCTCTTCCCTGGCTTCCTCATGTCTACCATGTCCACATCCACTTCCATCTCATTCAAAAGTTGAAACTTTTAAAATTTTCTAGACATTCAGTAAATGTACTAAACTTAAGAGCTTTTAAATTCATATTAAAATTATATTATTCCATTCACAAGTCAAGAAAATGTTCACATTTTCTTTCTTTTTCTTATAAGGAATTTTCAAATATGCTGAGATAATCCAAAGCATAAAAACAGTAATCACTTGTATTTCCACTTCTGAGTCAATAGCTATTACAATTTTGCTATATTTGTGTATAAAAGGCATTTGAAAGTAAATTATAGACATCATGGCATTCCTCACTCAAGAATAAGGACGCTGCCCTACATACCTCTAATACCATTATCACAGCTAAGAAAAGAATAGTTCCAAAATACCATCTAATATTCAGCCCATATTTAAACATCCTCAATTGTTCTTTAAATGTCTTTCAGAGCTGTGTGGTTTTTTTTTTAAAGCCAAAATATGATTAAGGTTCATACATTGGATGTGCTGTTAACTCTCTAGTCTCTTTCTGGGGAAGTCACTGTTTGTGTGTGTTTAATGATATGAATGTCTTAAAGAAATCAAGCAACAATTTATCAGTCTTTCTGATGTGATAGCTTTGGCTTGTTTCTTCACCTTCAACATTCCCTATAAGCTGGAGGTTAGGTATAAAGGCTCAATTAGATTCTGCTATATATTTCTGGCAAGAATCCTTTTAAGGTGTTGCTATACATTTCATACTGTAGCCCACTAGGAGGAACATAATGTCATTTGTCCTGCTTTTAATGATTCTGAATTTGATCACTTGATCAAAGGGGAATCATGCTATTTTTAATTTGACACCAAGTTATTGATTTTGCCCTACACCTAAGGTTTAAAAGACTTCCTATCTGTGCCAACATCTGCAGGAACTCTACTCTAGTTGACTTCTCTGGTCTCTTCTGATGCTTCTTCCTCACCTGTTTCTTACAGTGTTCTCTCTCCTCTATTTAATTTCTGCCCTCTTCTCTGTAAGCTTAGTTTCCAAACCAATCATCCATTTTCCTCCACCATCCAAGCAGGTCCCGAAATTCTATTCTGTGAAAGTCCCATGAATTCGAATACACTGATCACAGCTCATGTTGGATTTTCAACCTCAAGTTTACTGGCTCATTGTTAGAATGTGCTACAGAAACAAGAGTGTTTTTACCAAATTTTGCAAATGACCTCCAATGGCAATACATAAACATAGGCACTTACTGATTATGACATTAAATTCTCAGTAGGTATAATCTCAGTGAATAAGAATCTTCCTACTGAGCAAAACACCAGTATTTATTTAAAATAACTAATAAATAAAATTTTAAGTACTCATTAGGGTTTTCTGCCATTCATTTAAAATCCACTTATACCTCCCTCAGTAGCTGTATTTGCAAAACAACCATAGCAAGAAAGCACAGATATTTCCAAACACCTTTGTAGGATGCATCTTATATACTATCGACTATTTTGTCAGTAATCTTTTCAGTGCCTGGATCATCCTAATTGCACAAATTGGACAATCATAGGCACTCAACATTTCTCACCAATAGGAAAAAAATGTATTCTGAGAATATTTTGAAGCTGTGTATTACTGACTACACATGCAAAATGAATTAAGCATTGAGATCATTGTCTGGATCACTTAGATCAGAAGTCAGAGAAATATCCAGATAAGGCAAAAATGTGTTCCAATGAGTCTGAATTATTTGGATAATTCCACCTACTATCCAATGCATGTGAATTGTATAATCCATTTTAGGCCTAAAAGTAAATAATTTGTTTATATTCTTTCCAGTGAACAATTGTCTGCCTACAATTACATGTACAAGAACAACAAAGTCTGTTGACATCTCATTTTCTTGCTTTTTACCATCTGTGTTCCAGTTTGGAAACTAAGGAGAAAGATACTGGGCACAGAATTTTAAAAGGACCTGCTTTTTCCTCATGATCGACCTAAACTGAAATGACGAAACAATGCAAATGACACCAAATTCATCCTTCTCCTCCAAGACTTTTCTGGGGCAAATTGTGCCATGCATGAGGTTCACTTCAGCCCCACTGCCCCTGTAAAGACTTGCCTTTAACACAGTAATCCAGTCCTTAACTTCTAGGTAAATGTAACTTGATGATATTCCTTCTGCAAAAAGCATGTTTAAACCTGGTCTTCAACTGAGGAAGAAAAAGCCCCCCTTTCAGCAGGCATTTCAGGCATCTCCAGGCAGACCAAAGTTGAGTGGGAGATTAAACCTTCCCTGCCTTAGTGAAGTCACATGACATAAGCAAGCACCTGCTCTATTTTACATTTGACTCTCTCCATAGGTAAGCATTTTCTAAGCTAGTATTTGTAGAGTTCTGTAACATTTGCAAAGCATGTCACTTTGCCTAGTCTAAGCTTGACCAAGCCCCATATTCTTGTCTCCACTTGACAAATAAGGAAGCTGGCTCCTTGCCACCAAGTGCCGAACCCATGCCTCTAACCAAGGTCTTATAACTCTACATGGCTCTTCTTTCCATCCTGGTCTACAAACCAATTTTGCTTCTTCCTCTAGGAGAAAAGGGTTTCCCTGGTGGCTCAGTGGTAAAGAAACCCTGCCAATGCAGGAGACATAGGTTCAATCCCTGGGTCAGGAAGATCCTTTGGAGAAGAAAATGACAACCTACTTCATATTCTTGCCTGGGAAATCCCACGGACAGAGGAGCCTAGCAGGCTACAGTCCGTGGGGTCGCAAAAGAGCAACTAAACAACTAGAAGAAAGGAGATGACCTAACCATAGACTTGCCCAGCACCTAAAAGTGTTCTCCAGGTTCAAAAGCAAGAATGATTGATTCTATTACCAACAGATATCACACACACAGACACACATAATTTTTTGAATATTCATATAACAGTAGATAAACAGATCTCACCTATTCTTCTCACAGGGGGTTAAAACCATAATCAAGTGACAGGAGAAGAACCACAGAACAAAGCTATGTCATTACAACATAATTCCAAAGCAGGAAGCACCAAGAAACTGTGGTAGAGGAGACAGTAATTTTCTGTTGCTTTTACTATGCACAGTCAATGCTGAGTTTTGAAGAAAAGTCAACTTCTCTCTCACTTAACGATATACAGACCTACAGTTACACATAAATACAATATTTAAAATACACTTCAAACAACTCATACACTGCTATTCTACTTATATAGTTTTATAAGAAAATAAAAGATGACAAATTATTATTGGGTTCAAAACTTGACTATATCCACTAACCAGCAAACTATTGCAAAAAGGCATGAAAATTTTCAAACACCTCTGTAGAATATATCTCATATACCGTATCTCATGCCTGACACATGCTTTAAACACAGATCACTGTAGCTGAAAAAATACCAACAGGCAATCATGGACATCTTGCAGCATTTCTGGAAGTTCAATACATACTATTATCTTATAGATACTTATAAATATCTTACAATACTTACAGTATCTTATATATCAGAGGTTGGCAAACTCTTCCCATAAAGGTCTTTGCAGACCATATTTTAGGCATTTCAGATCATATGACCTCACTGAAACTATATAATCCTTCTGTCAGTATCATGAAAGCAGACACAGACAGGATGTAAATGATGGATCTTGCTGTATCCAATAAATCTTTATTTATAGCAACAGGCCCACAGGTTGCCAATTCCTTCTACAAAAACCTCATTTCATCAAGGCTGTCTTTCCTACTAAATGAGACTATCTAGAACACATCACTAAAATGGGCTGGGGTGTTGCTCACCTGTGACCCAATGGTTTCCTGGAAGCACCGGCCCAGCTGGGTCTTAGCAGCCACCGGGTACACATGAGGAATGACTTGCTGGTATGAGGAATGGACCGTCTGGGTCTTCTGGACAGGAAGGCCTTGGTAAGGGACTTGGGACTGGCCTGGTTGAGCTTCTTTAACCTTCTGACCTGTTGGGCCGTCAACTCTTGAAACCTGATGTATCTGGACCGAGGCCTCAGGAGGGTGCTTCACATGGATATTGACTATGTTAGGAGGAAATTTCACTAAAACAGATCGGGAGGAAAACTTATCAGCTGTAAATAATCAACATGCATGTCACGATGAAAGTAAATTTTCATGCTCATCAGCATGAAACTAAATTTTATACACACACATATACTTAAGTACATATATATTATGCTGTTGTTTTGTTGTTTAAGTCGTGCCCAACTCTTTTGTGATCCCATGGACTATAGCCCACCAGGTCCTCTGTCCATGGGGTTTCCCAGGCAAAAATACTGGAGTGGGTAGCCATTCCCTTCTCCACGGGATCTTCCCACCCCAGGAATCAAATCCATGTCTCCTGCATTGCAGGTAGATTCTCTTCACTGCTACGCCACCAGGAAAGACCACATATATATTATGCATAGGATAAATAAAAGATTTATAGTGTGGATCTAGTTTTGCTGCACAGCCTTTAAAACTCTTGAGAGTAAAAGGGACACTCAAAAATTAAAGCTGACTTTATATACTTTAAAGAATAAAATTACTTTTACAAAGCAAAATTTAAACCTCTCACAATAACAGATTCATGAAACATTTTTTTCAGAAGAGCCACAAGACTATGAAATTTGTGCTACTAGTGGTCATACATTTTATCAAACAAAAGTAATTAAGACTCAAGAGTTAGATTATTTTCTAATTTCTCACAAAGTTTCCATCAGAGAGACTGTAGGATTTATAACACAATTTCACAAAACATAGTTCTTTTACCCTTAAACCTGGTATGTGCATACTCTTGTGCTTCTTTTGACACACACAAAATATTTAAGTGTGACATTTTATATCAGTATTTTCTTTCTCTACAGGTTTCACACAGAAATTTATCTTCTGATGCTAAGATTCAGGTTTTAAAGAATAAGAGCTGGTAACACTTCTTTGACCCCTTTTTTAAAAATTGTGCATGTGTGAGAGATGCCAGGTTGAAAAGAATGAATTAGTCATAGAATTTGAGCTCCAAGTGACCTAGTTTATCTTCCTCTACAGATGAATAAACTGAAGCCCAGGGAGGTTACAGATTGTTTAGAACTAAAACCAAGGACTCTTTGACTACAAAATAGACTTGGTATTCAACAGCAGGTACCATGTGATCTACTAGATGATTAATGATCATAAGGGTCAGAACACCATCTTGTTCATCTTCCCCTTTCCCAGGTCCTGCTAGAAGAGCACCAGGTACGCTTATTAGCTCTTGGTCCTGGGTCACCAGAGAAAGATGGGCTCCATTTTCTCAGTTCCTAGGTACCATTCTCTATGGCCGAGAAAGCACTGTCGCCATATAACTGGGCCCATATCCTGTTCCAATGCCAACCACGCAGGCACTTGGCCTCTGTATATATAGGTTTGGCATGTTAACAGAGTTCTGACGAATAGGCAAAATCAAAACAGTCAGCTTACCTTTGACTCCTTGCTGGCTGGTCATGGTCAGAGGCAAAGTATGTGTTGAGTGGACGACATGCGTTCCCAGCGCCTTGCCTGACTGCTGGGAATGCTGATACACTTTAGGCAGGCTGGCCCCGTGGACCGGGATCTGACAGAGCTTCCCTGTGAAATTTGGAGGGCACTGGCATTTGTCCCTTGAACTGCACTGGCCTCCATTCATACATGGAAGATGGCAAATTACTGTAACGGGAAAGAGAAAACGTGAAGAGTTGGTTAGTTTCTCAAAAGCTAAGTAACAATCAAACCAATAGAACACCCCCAAAGCACAGCCATCATATTACCAATGACTTTAGAAATGGTAAACAAAGGAGAATCTATACTGGGTTCAAAAATACTTCCTCTTTTTGTTTTTTTAAACTATCTTTTTCTTTCCACCTTAAGTAAGTCATTTAGCTCTCCAATCGTTTGTGGTTGTTCATCCACAATGCTGGAAAGAATTCATAGGAAAAAATATACATATATGTAAATATACAAAGTTACTCAGAATATCTCCTACATTCTGTACTTACTTTGTTTTCCTATTACTAGCTTATTTACTGTCTTTCTAGATTATAAACTCCTTGGGGGAAAGGAATGCCTGGTTTAATGCACTTTATATCCTCAGCAACTAAAATAATGTCTGATGCATAGTGGACATTAAATACCTCCTCCAAGAATACACAAATAAGAGTGTTAAAAATAACATCTGTCGAGAATTTTCTCTACATAAAGAACTGAACTAAGTGCTACCCAGAATAAGGGAATAGAATCGTTTGAAACCTGCTTTACAGGAATTTGCAATCCCATTAGGATAACAAGACCACAGTGAAACCTAGAAGGAACAGAGTGATTAATAGTTGGGAATTTATTCAGAATAGCAAAAGGTAAAAGGATGTGTTTGGGTGAAGAATTTTATGAAGAGTTTTAAATTCTGGCTAAATTCAGCTTATGGCCAACCTCTTTACAACTAATGAATTTTTCCCATCAGACTTTAAACTGATCAGATTTCCAGCAGCTTAAAAAATAAGTCTCTCAACTCCATTGTCTTTCAGCTTCTATTCTGCTTCAATCCTCTCCTCCATGACCAAACTTTCCAAAAGAATTATCTGCTCCCTTCTCTGCTCACTACTAGTTAGCCAGCACCAAGTTGTATTCTCTTCTTTGTGTGTGTTCCGTTTTCCCATCCCTCTCCTACACTGAAATTCCTCTTACTCAGGTCACTAATGGTCTCCACATTGCTAAATCCATTGGCTGGATTTCAGTCTTCCCTTGGCTTCTGTGACATCTCTCCCACCTGTCTGCTCTTTCCTCTTTGTCCACAGTCTCTTACTATTCTTTGCAGACTCCACATTTTCCTTATCCTTTAAACACAGATGTGCTTCAAGATTTGGTCTTAAAATCTTCTGCTTTGTGCTCGCTTCAGCAGCACATATACTAAAAAATCTTCTGCTTCACTAACCCTACACATTCTGATTTCATCCTGTCATATGATGATGTCACTCAAAACCATATTTCTAAGCCAAAGCTTTCTGCTGCGCTCCACACTGTCTACATCCTGTAGATCTTCTATAGACATCTCAGACTTACAATGTCCCACTTTGAACAGGATCATCTTCCCCCTAACGTCTCCCATTCACTGAGGGACGCTTAACAGAAGTCTGAGGGTCCTCTCAAACCACTCAAATATCCAGTTCTCCAGGTCCTGCCTTCTAAACATTTATCAAATATGTCCACATCTTTCTCATCAGAGAGATCCTGTTTTCTCTGAAACCTCATTTCCTACAATTCAGCTACACTGAATTTGATTCCTGAGTGGACAGGGCTCTCTCACCCCTCCTCATGTTTTATCTTCCCTGCATCCTTGGCCTGGAACACTCTTTTCATTTGCTTCCTAATACCCTCCCCACTTGCCCACCTAACTCCTGCTCATCATTGAGACTCTGCTTAAACCTCACTTCCTGGAAGCATTTCCAGTTGACCCTCATCTAGGTTTGGGCCTCTCCTCTGTGCCTCCATGGGTTCTCATTCACTGTTCATCATGCCCCTTGGCTTACTGCATTGTAATCCTCTGACTTCATTTCTGTATGTCCCATTCAACTAGAGCTCTGTAAGGTCAGCGACTTCAATGTTTTACCTCTAACATGTAGTTCAGCTCTTAGAAAAAATGCTGCAGCTCAATAAAAATTACTAGATAAAAGAATGAACAGATTTATGGCTACTACTTTGTCAAATACCATTCTAGATACTACAGAAGAAAGTAAAAGCTAAGTGGAGCTGTTAGGTAATACATGATAACTAAAAATACACATCAACAAATAAGTGACACTGGAAAATATAAAATGCAAGTTCTATGGAACTTCAGAGAAAAGTCATTTCTGGGAGGTCAAAATAGACGTTTTAGGAGCGCTCACTTGAAATAAGTCTTTGAAGCTGGGGATTCAGAAAAACAGAAAGGAGGACGGTGTGTGAAAGGCCAGAGGTAGGCAAATTTGGAAGATAATGAGAAAGCCTGTGCTGTTGAAACCCCAGATTCCTTGGGGAATGGAGTCAGATGATAAACTGGGAGATGTAGACTTAACTCAGAGAATGGTTAAAGGTCTGATGAAAAGTTTGGATTTTACTCTGTAATTAATAAATTATTTTGGAGACTTCAAGGAGAGAATGTTCCGGGAAGATTACTCTTGTGATGGCATGTGGCATTAGCTGGAAAGGAGAGTGACCAAGTAGAGAAGTCAGACAGGAGAATATTAAAATAACTGAAAGACAACTTGAAAAACCCATGGATTAGGATCATGGCAAAAGGAACTGACAGAAACATGAAGTAATATTATGATAGACAGGCAATCAGTAAAATGTGGAGATGGGACACAGGAAGTAAACAGAAGGTGAAGGAAGAGGTAAGACACTGAAGGAGAAAGGAAAGACTGAGAAAAAATGACCAAGGTGACTGCCAAGAACTATGTCCAGGGTCTGACTATGGGGCAGATAAAGTTAAAACTGCCCATGCAAGATAGGGTCTGGAATATGCATCCTCAAGCGTCTAATCTACACTGAGGTGGCGAGTAAGCAGAAGAGTCAAAGCTGACTCTGAGGCTGAGTCAAAGACTCCATAATTCCCAGTTCAATTCTAAACTGAACTTCTACTAAACAACAGCGTGCTGCTGGATGCGTTCACTGTGCGTGTCGAGCCAAGATTTTCAGTCAGCTCAGTTCAGTCGCTCAGTCGTATCCAACTCTTCACGACCTCATAGACTGCAGCATGCTAGGCTTCCCTGTCCTTCCCTGTCCTCCTGGAGCCTACTCAAACTCATGTCCATTGTATCGGTGATGTCATCCAACCATCTCATCCTCTGTTGTCCCCTTCTCCTCCCGTCTTCAATCTTTCCCAGCATCAGGGTCTTTTCCAATGAGTCAGTTCTTCACATCAAGTGGCCGAAGTACTGGAGTTTCAGCTTCAGCATCAGTCCTTCCAATGAATATCCAGGACTGATTTCCTTTAGGATGGACAGGTTGGATCTCCTTGCAGTCCAAGGGACTTTCAAGAGTCTTCTCCAACACCACAGTTCAAAAGCATCAATTCTTTGACGCTCAGCTTTCTTTATAGTCAAACTCTCACCCATACATGACTACTGGAAAAACCATAGCTTTGAGTAGATGAACCTTTGTTGGTAAAGTAATGTCTCTGCTTTTTAATATGCTGTCTAGGTTGGTCATAGCTTTCTTCTTGGTCATAGTTTGAGGAGGCAAGCATCTCAAATAATTTATCACTGGAATATAAGCACACTTTACTGTGTATAGTCGATCCCTGGGTCAGGAAGATCCCCTGGAGGAGAGCATGGCAACCCACTCCAACATTCTCACCTGGAGAATCCCATGGACAGAGAAGCCTGGCAGACTACAGTTCATGGGGTCACAAAAAGTGGGACATGACTGAAGTGACTTAGCACAAAAAGCATGAATTTCAGTTAATACAGTTTAATTAAATAATACCAGTCTCCCAAAAACATGGTCTGAACTTCATTTGCCACAATATTAACTAGGTAACTTCACTGCTATTCTCCTTGGTCCACAAATCACTACATAAATAACAGGTGTGTATCACGGCCAATAACCAATCATATCACTTCCTTCAGAGTTTGTTGGCAACTGACCCCGGCATATCTGTTATTCAGTTCATATGTCCCCTTCCTCTTGAACATCCCTCATACCCAGACAACAAAGCAGGTAGCTGAGTTGCCTCATCACTTCACAAGGACAAACTCACATGACATTTTACAGAAGTGTATTATCAAAATGGCCAAAAAAAAAAAATAGGCGCAGCAAAGAAACAAAAAGTGGTAACACTGGAAATGAAACTGGAAAGTGGTTGTGATGTGGGATAAAGATGGTCCCAAGGAAATGACATTAAAGGCACTCAGATATTCCACAACTTGGAAAGCGCAAAGGTGAGTTGTTGAAACCTGATGCAAACTTAGAAAGGTTCACTAAGGCAAAGAAAAGATACTCACTCCACATCATACAGTATACAAGAAGAAAGTGAAAATATTCACTTTCATATTACTTTTAAGTTCTACTAAAAGAAATAAAACACTTCCATTCTCAGTGTTTCTAACACTTTACATCATAGGGCACTTGGTAAATATTGCCTCTACTATTTTTTCCCCTTTCCCGATACATACATCACCTACAGTAAAAGAATTTTAATGTTTTGACAAAAAGAAAAATTTAAGGTGATGGAACTAGTAATTTTCCCACTAATTATTAAGATTGTTTTCACAGTTACAGCCTCCATGGTCATTTTTATGGTGCTGCACCACTGTGCAAAGAGGTCTACCTATCACCTTTACAAAAATACCATCTTTTTTTTTTTTAACAAAGCTGATGTTTATTCTAAAATCAATAGTATATTTTGAAATCTGAAATTAATTTAATTAGCTTTGTTTAAATCTATTTTTAAACCTTTGAGATAGCTTCCACACAAACATTTCAAAAACAGTACCAGTCTAAGTGGATACAGCAATAATCCCAAAATAGAACTCCAATAACCCTGTGTCTCTCTGGTCATAAAGGAAACCACATCTGCTGACTTATTCCAAACAGTAACTGGCCACTATTTATAACCATTTATGAGTGAGAAATAAAATACCTATTCTACTGTTCCAGCATTTTCACAAAAATCTAAATTACAATCTAAAGTTCTT